TTTATTGATGAGATCAATTTGGTTGTTCCATGCTTGGTACCCTCACATTCGGTACATTTAAAAGAAAAGTATGAACATTTAGGACTTCTTTGGAAGAAAATAAACTACCAAGAACATCAATGGATGCTTTGTGGTAACTTTAAAGTGCTGTGCATGCTCCTAGGGCAACAAGGGGCTTGTACAAAATGTCCATGCTTTATTTGTGAGTGGAATAATCGGGCAAGAGATGGCCTTACACACCTGGTAGCAAAAACGCATTAAGAGATGTTTACTGCCCCCTCTTCATAACATACTTGGCTTGATGAAGAAGTTTGTAAAAGCCCTTGAAAATAGCGTTTTAAATATTTGCGCGAGCAATTTCCAGCCAAATTTGATGCCAAGATAAAAGAAGATATTTTTGTTGAACCGCAGAACATTATACAAAGATAAGGATTTTTAAACCACAATGACTAATGTCAAGAAAAACGCCTGGGTTTCATTTGAAAAAATAATTGATAAGTTTCTTGGGAACTCTAAGGACTAAAACTACCAAAGTATTGTTCAAAATATTTTACAACACTTTCATCGTCTAAGTTGTAATATGAGTTTTAAAGTGCACTTCCTGTTGTCACACTTGAATTATTTTTCTGAAAATCTTGGAGCAGTTACCGAAGAACAGGGAACTATGTGTGGATTGAATTAATCCTTTTTATTTCAGACATTAATTTGTCTAAGGTAAAACGAGGCTTCTTCTGATGCCAGCCTTTTCATGAATGTTAAGTTTTGAGGGCTTTAAACAAATTGAGAATAATAATTTGCCACACAAACTCTGTTCATTTTCAAGAATTTTAAACACTCAGGCACAGGTAGGTTAGTTTTGGTTAGTTTTAGGAGGTTAACTCCACATTCATCCACTCCACTCTCGGAACCATTGACACAGAGTATAAAAACTCTTTTACCGATTTTTTAAATTGTTCAGTTTTAATTTGCCCATTCTGAGACAAACGATATGGTTTAACGTAAAGAAAATTTGCTGAACGTGTTTTTAACATATATCCGAAACGCTGTTATTAGTATTATTTATTTAACATTTCAAACGCTTGTAACTCAGAATAGCGTTAGTGTCTATTTGAAATTTTTAACTTGACATCACCCCAGCAACACACTCCCAAGCTGTGGCCGTCATCTCGTGGGACACCCTGTATAGAAGAAGCATAGCACTTACTTGGTTTAAAAGCTTTTTCAGTTCTAAGATCGTTCCAAGTCAAACTATTCATGTCGACATTATCGGTAGACTCTTTGCTTCCGTTATTTCTTATTTATTTATTTCAGTCATCTCAAAACACAGCCGCTTTCATCCCAACAAAACTAATAGACAACAATATAATGTTTCCCAGTATTGACCTTTAGACCTGACTCCATTGTTGGTTGTTGGTTTAATTATTTGAATGTCTACTATTTACATAAAGCGACGATCTCCTCTAGTATCAATTTACTAAAAGCTCTACGAATTCTGGGGTTGTGCTTTGATACGATGAAGTCAAAGCCCTGTTTGTCTTCCATTTAAAATATTCGCTTTAGCATTCGATCTGATGGTTTTTAATATATATATATATATATATATATATATATATATATATATATATATATATATATATATATATATATATATATATATATATATATATATATATATATATATATATAGGCAGAGGCACTGTATACCAGACTTTGTTTTTATTTCATTGCAGTTGGCTTTTAATAGCGCGCTACGGAATCACAAGTCTACATAAGATTTTAATTTCCGACTAGAATGACAAAACAACAAAGACTAAAACTTTTTGTGTCCTGTGTGCTAAAGTTGGGTTGTTAGAATGGCAAGGCTCGAATTTTCATTAGCATTTAAAGGACCCTTCAGAAAGGTTTTTTGAGCGTTCCGAACGAGTGAGCTTCGAGAGCTTTGAATACACAGCCCGTTTTAAAAATATGCATCTTGTTGAGGTATATTTCTTATAAAAACGTTTTTTGAAAATCGTAAATTTTTGGAACTTTTGGCATATTGACAAAACATGCTTCCAAATGTTTTGAACTAGTTGCTAAGCAAGCTAGTAATGTTAATGTTATCTAGTATTCTTATTTAAAATGGTAGGCGTGTTTCTGAAAACACAGTGCAATAGCTTTTGCAATTGTGTCATTGAAATAGCAAATCCAAAAACGCAACATAGAGAATAGTACCTTGGCTATAAAACGTATATTTTGGTTTTATAATTTTACTTTTTGAAAATGCGTTCATGAAAAACCAGACAAATACCAAAAGAGTCAAAATATACGCGAGAAAAGTTCATAAAATATAATACATGTCTGCTTAGAAGTTGAGTTTTCCTTTTTACTAGCCTATATAATTTAAAACAAAAAAACTTTTCAAAAAAAAAGTTCTACTCAAAAACACCCTTACATAATCTGGAAACTGCTAATAAATATGTTTCACAAACAACGGGCTACTTTGTACTATCACTTTTCTAACAATTGTTCTTAGTATACGATTTCCTTTCTCGTGTTTATTGATTGACCTGATCCTGCCTAGAAGCATGCCCATACAATAAATATTAAGTTAGTATATATAGTAGTAAAAGTATTCTAAAATCACTACACATAGCAGCCACCTGGAGAAATAGATCGCAACATGTTAGATTGGGGAATATTTTGTGTATCCCTCAGAGCACTGTTCTAGAGCCAAATCTATATATTACATGATGATGTAAAAGAGGTGTGGAAATAGTAAGAGATTGGCTAGACTTTAATTAATTAACGCTCAAATCAAAGTATGTTGTATTCTCGCTTTTCGACTTGACTTCAACACAGATCTCAAAATTAATTGAGTTGAATTAAATTCTATGAACGTTGTAAATTTTTGTAAAAAAATAGTTGGTGTCTATCCATAAAGCATTGGATGAATCTTTATATTATTACAGTACGCATTAGTTGCGTGGGGTGGTCTGTACACTAACGCGTTTGAACCTCCAAATGTAAAACAATTTACAAAACTGCTGTATTCCTCCTGCGTCAGTTGTTGAGTCAAACTTGCTAACGTTTCGCCAGCCATAATGTTGGCTTTCTCGGAGCTTAACCGAAACTGCCTCACATTTTACTTTGTACCTGCTTATTAGTGTTTGGGGGGCGCGGAGCTAAATGAGATGCGGATGACTGATTGCCATATTGGTGACAGGTAAAGACCTGAGTCGCGGTTAAGATTGTTAGGTTGTTTATAGATTTCTATAGACTCTCGGATATATTTTATATATTTTTTTTTTCACGTATTGATTCACGGATGGCAAAATGTGATGACACTATATTCCGGGATATCATCCTACATCTGACTGGAATCCTGCAGAAGTTTCGCCAAAATCTCACCTGGCATTTTCAATGCTCGCGCTCCGAAAACACTTCGAACACTGAAGTTTTGTAAATAGTATTACAGTAGCCTGTGGAAGTTTCTTTGAAAAAAAACTCCAAATGTACTTGTATTTCAAAAAGCACTTTTTCTAACCAACCAGTTATAGTAAATATTTGTCTGACAATTAATAAATAAATAAAACATTAAACAAATAAATAAACAAAACATTGACTGAAAAGTCTTATAAGTGTTCTCGATTTAGTATAACTGTAGTCTGCTTGCTTGCTTTATCTTTTTTCCTTCCTTCCTTGCTTTCGACCTTAATATGACGTACAATACTTAAATTCACTTTTGAAAAATGTAGGAATTAATTTAGGAGCAAAGAATTTTCAAATACAGAGTGCCTTCTGATCTATTTGCGATATTTATTAATTAATTTAAGAGCACATTTTGCATTTTTTGCTTCTAGTGAAATTCTGTTCAGAATTTTGTATCAAAATTTATTAAGAATTGAGAATTTTAAACATCTTAAAAATATCCACTTTTACTATTGTATTTCATTATTTTCCGAGTTAAGTGCACCAAAATATAGGAGTTTCTTTACCTTTTCCCTAAGTAAGTCATGTTTTGGCGCTCGATGAATCTTGATATACTTGAAAAATACTTTTCCAAGAAAAGAAGGCTTACACAAATTAAACACAACAAATTAAAAAGACCAACGCATATAAATGTATATAACTTATCCCAAAACAAATGTATAGCTCAACAAAAACGAAAAATATTTTTATATTATAAGAATAAAATTCAAATTAAATTATTCTAAGAACTCGCCTACAGATAAAATACCTTTCCTATTACAGATTTTTTTAATGTTCTAAAGCATTTTAGTTTTGGTTACTTTTGATTTTAGTTCCTCAATATTTCGTGTATATTTTGTGGGCCAACATGATTATACATTTTCATGTAATTGCACATAAATGAATCTCTAACCAGAGTGTGTATGTGTATGTATGTAATAGGATGTTGTTAAGGTACACTTGCTGGTAACTACGAAAGCAATGCTTTTGTGTGAAAGTGTTGTGAATTAAATAGACAGTTTCTAGGACCAACAAGGACGGTAAAACTTGTGTTCAATAAAGAGTGGATTAGTGGAGCTGCGTTGAATAAATTTGTGATACCTTTTTTGAAAAACAAAAGCAAAAGCAAAAGAAACATTTAATTCGACTCCCTCAGACTCAAAAACTTGCCAATTACTCAACCAAGTCGATTCGGCAAACTACACTCGGTGGTTGCGAAGTAAATATTCGAAAGTGTAATCGGCGTTCGGCACCCCTCCATTAAACGACCGAGACAAAATTTCTAACCAATATAACCGGCGTAAATAGCCCTGAGGCACCTGCAACCCGTCCGCCGCTGCTGCGGGACAACCGCGTGGACTCTGCCCCCGCGTCTTCGCCTCCCTGACGCTCGTCCTCGTTCCTGCAGGATCCTGTGACGGTCTAGGGCGCGCGCGCGGGCTGCAGGATCCAGCATCCTGCCATAAACCGGCTCCAGAAAGAAATCCTGTTCGCTAGATACGGGAAAACGCGACGCAGTGTCCGCGGTGGTGACGTAGCCATACGTTTCTCCGATATCGACGCAAATATTGGTGCTAGATTTATCCTCTTTTTTATATATTTTTTTTATCGGTATTTGTATAAATAGGGAACTGGTTAAGGATCGACCGTTCGAGCTAAAAATTCATCAACTAAGTATTTTCGTCTTTAAATAAATAAAGTGCTGGTCGGGTACCACTAAACGGATTTATTAAACGTATTACTTATTAAACATCGTAGGCCTTAAATATGGAAGAAGTTAACTAAAGCACAAAATTAAACGTAGATAGTTAAGAGAGGATGGTATTTGTATTCCTGTTACGTAATTTTCTACAACGGTTTTTTACAGAGCTTTAGGGACGTTAATGTTTTAGTGCGGGACCAAAACATTCGTTAAATAGACACTTAAATAGACGTTAGTCGCAACTGTTTAGATTCCGCGCGGTGTACAAAAAATCATCCAAAATTACCAACTTTGTAGGTAAGTTTGTCGTGATCATCTCCGGAACACATGAAGGTCTCGAATCGTCAATTAAAATCTTTGTCTAGGGTATTCAAAAATTTCAGTAAACCACGTTAGCCGATCCGTACGGATTGGTTAGCGTGAATAACCACGCTATCTCGTTACTCTAGCGTCTCATGACTTATTGGTCATAGCAGCTGCGGAGCGCCCGTTTCAAATTGGTCCGATTCAGTGGAATTAATTTGAATAAATTTTGACTAATATTGATGGCAAGCGATATTTTGTTACTAATTTCATTTAACTTGTACTTCGTTAGCAGAAGGGGAAGTAGATACGCTTATATCATAATAAATTTTACATTAGGCAATAAAAGTGCTTCGGGACTCTTGCCGAATTAGTACAGCATTGAATGTCTTCCACTTGCATTACCTACTTTGCATTGGATTCACAAAAGCATATACTCCTCACAAGAATAAATACCACTCTACTTCATTTTTCTAAAAGCTAATAATATTGCTACATGAAATTATGGATTGTGGAATGATGTTAAATAGTTTCAATTTCAAGTAAAAAAAATCATCTTTGCCCATACGTTTTTTAGCATGTCCTTAGTTTTGAAAGTGGACATTAATCAGCTTTTTCAGCATGGAGAGGTTATTCTATAGCAAAAAAGATGCCTTGTATCCATGTCGTCGCTTATACAATGCCGTAAGATGCTTTTGCATTACCTTCGAATTTTTTGGAGTATTTTTGAAACGCGTCCCTAGCCGGCAATTCCATAGGTAAGGTGTGGTTATACTAATGCAAAATACAAAGTTTCAAGGACAAAAACTGTTTTAAATTCTCAAATTTCAGTAAAATTTGTTTAATATTTTAAGTGAGATGTGCTGACCGGCGGAGATTATCAATTGCAATTCCTAGCTATTTAATTGTTTTTGTTGAAAGCATCATATAATAATAACAGCAAAAACCACTGCGAGAAGGTTATGGACAAACCAGTAAATTATTTTGATGTTGATTCTCCTTTAAACAAAGTATTGATCTTCTATATTCAGCAACATAATATATACGCTCGGTTATGTCCATTCTCAAGTTCCGATGATAAAGAACTGGGCCCATTACTGTTCCCTGCAGTACAGCCACATAAATAATAAATATATATTAATAGTAGATAGATAAATAGAGAGTTTAATGGTTTGGCACCTTTATTCCACACCGTTCTAGGTAGAAAATGTATTTAAAAAATCTTTAAAAAAAACGCCCAAGGAATTCGTGATTTCCATACCACATTTTCAGTAGGGGTTCATCCACATTTTGTACATGTGTAAATTTATTTAATTTGAAATATAGTTAAAATACGTATGACACAAACTAGTTGAAGTACAATAAATATCAATGCTCTTAAATACCAAAAAGTAAGACAAATAAAAATAAAATATACAGATCGTTACAAAAAAGTAGAATGTTTCATATCACGGCCTTTGTAAAAAAATTTCAAAAATTTCAAAGAAGTAATAAATAAGAAGGGGAATTTTTTAACTTCTGACTCACCATTTTTTTCTGACTAACATCCACGAATGAATCGAACTTCTAAGCCAACCTTCAGAGCGTATTATTATTATCATTATAAGTTACATTTAATCTAAGTAATGCAGAAACTAATAAATAAGCATCTTAAAAAAACAACTTATTATAGTATTTTATCCAAAAGTAAGCCATATATGGTTAGTTGTTTAATTTTATTTATAATTGATTTTATTAAAATTATTGGTTATGCCACAACAGAACTGATATTTTCTCAGTAGAGATGTGTCCATCCCCATTTAAATATTAATATTTATTTTAGTTATTTTTGAAATTGTTGGTTACTAGGTTCTCATTTATTTAAAATAAAATTTGCGATCTTTTGAGTATCTGATATTCATCGTGCATTCAAATCTTCTAATCGTGCGTTTCGCCAACTTTTATCAGACCTTTCCGATTAATTTTAATAAAAAATTCAGCAAAGCGCTGATCCCATTGTCATAATCGATCTTTTTTTGGTAATATGAATATTATTTTGGAGTCTCTGGAGTTTCTCTAATAGATAGTTAGAAAAATAAACGGGTTTCAATATATTTTGCAGCATGTTTTTGTTTAACTTAACTCTGTTTGCTAGTTATATAGGTCATATTGGTTCTAAGGTTACTTTTTGATCAATAATAGCAATTAAAATCTTTGCTGAATGTTTCTGGAAGCACATAACAAAACCTCAAAAAATTGGTTTAATCGAATTAGGGGATAATCGGCCAGCACGGCGCGCTATGCAGTAAATTAGTTCCGCTAATTACGGCGTAAGTGGACACATTGCATTAACTTAATCAGACAAGAGGCAGGTCTGAGGACCGCAGGATGTTCCCATTACAACAATGACCACTTCGGGTGCTTCCAATTTTCCAATGGGTTAATATTTAAGCCAGAAATAACAACAAAACTTTACTCTCGTCTTAGTATATGATTGGATATTTTTTTGGATATCGCTATTTTTCGAAATTTAAGACTTGAACAATAGATTAGAATAATTCAAATTAGTAAGATATATATGTAAGTATCTTCTAAATTAGTATCAATCCACATTCTATGAAATCTAGTCCCCGCTCTATAATGGCCAATTAAGCATCGATCAAGCTTTAAGGGGTCAGCTTTAGAACTTTAGTCACGGGTTTGGCTGTGATAGGATGTTTTTGGTAGATTTTGTCAACACTGACAGTCACGTAACGTTACAAAAGTTATTCTTAATGTTTTGCAATAATTTACCTAAAATTAACTTGTGACTAAAGTGTCGTTTATCAAACTTGTTGCACAATGCACTGTTATAACTTAATTAGAAACCAAAATACAACTTTTACAATTTTACACTTATTACACTTTATTTTTTTATTACTTCGACCGCTTCTTTTAAACAAGCAAATACCAATAGAAAAGTAACTAAAGTTATGAAACTTGAAAATTATTTCACATTTTTTTTAACAATAAATTCAAGTTAAACATTCATCTAATTTAGATGTACAGGGTAGCTCGTTTAAGAGGGGCCTATACCTTATCTCGAAACCTACGGGGGGTTATTTCTATTAAAACGATTTTTTTTTATTTACCTAATCACTTTTTTGTATACAAAGTGGTAAAACGAAGTAATTTTAATTTTAATTTAATTTCTTTTTTTTTTTAAAGAACACCCTAGATATTCTTAAATTTTTGGATAGTCCTTTCAAAGAAAAATTCAACGATATATATGAGAATTTTTAAATCATCATTGTTGGGTTGTATTAACTTTTTAAACTGTTTTCCATCTATTATTTTTACTAAAATAATGCTTTTCTTTAGGCACTGATCAAAATTAAATACTTTTCTTAATTCTATTGGATTTTCAATAGCAATTTCAATTATATAACATAGTACGCGTCTCTGACTTACCGTTTGGACTTACTTGGCAGATCAAATGCAAAACCGGGTATAAGATTTAAATTATAAAGATATGAATCTGGGAATTACGTCCTTATCAACATGTTCACAACCGTTTTAGAGAATTGTTAAGAAGTCATATTAAAAACAGAATATTCAGCTTCACACAATGTTACAATGATGAATGTCTACGTGAAATGATTACAAAAATTAGCACTAATTACTAATGCATTTTACTTAGAAGTAAAATTAATTAATCTAGTTTTTCAATATGTCCGCCGTTTTGAAGAATACAAGAAGTATGTCCTATTTTCAAATGGTATAATTCGTTTCATTCAGATAGTGTAATGCCGCGCGAAAAAAAAAAACGTCCATCGGGGTCAAATTTGGACTCCTCGCTGGCCAGGAGATGGTTCCGTTTTGTCCAATTTACTCTGAAAAAACGATGGTAAGGAGAGCCATCTTGCTGCCAAATTAAATTTGGATGCTATCTTTGGGGAATATTATTCTGTATAAGTGACCGAATTTCGTTCCATAATAAGTTTACGTAGTTACGTACGGATGTTAAATTTTGTTGGTAAAATATGGGTCCAAAAAGACATTTTATATTTTCTAAATTCCAATAATGTATATTTTTTCTATTAAATAACACTGCAGACTTTGTAAATATTGATTCGTTGGTCCAATTTTGAAATATGTTATCTAAAAAATGTTTATCCATCATTATATTGCAAAAGTTAAACATAACATTAAACATAGTCTTAAGTTATAATCTCCTCCTTGTCGTTTTTGTACTGGTGTGAATTTAAATGGGTTATAGTTGCTTATAACTGAGAGCAAGAGCCGGACTTTTGTTATTGGTAATGTAACATGCTAATAATGCAATGCAATATGACCACAATAGAGAACTACTATTGTTTTCAAAGCTATTGCCATGATTATGTAAACAAGGTGAAAATTAATCAATCATCATCAAAATAATCATCCATTTTGCGTTTGTGACTTTCAACAGGCAGGTTTCTATATATTTTTTAGAGATATGTGGACTATATTATTAAAAATATGAATATTTTTTATATTATTCCATTTAAGGACCTCGTTTACAAGATTCTTAAATTATGAGCATTATTTTCGTAAATAGATAGAAAAAAGTTTAAAAAGTTAACAAGCAACCCAACAATGATAGTTTAAAGATAACCCGAATTCTGAAGATGATCGCTAATAAGTTCGAAACGGTGTATCGCAGATCCATACTAATATATATCGGTGAATTTGTCTTAGAGAGGACTATCCAAAAATGCAATAAAATATAGGGTGTTCTATTTAAAAAAATGTAACTTTGTTTTATCACCCTGTATATCAAAAAGTGACGATTAGGAAAATAGAAAAAAAAAAGTAATCTTAATAGAAACAAGTTTTGCATTTAAATTTTTTTTGTAACCCCCCTAGGTTTCGAGTTAAACGAGCCTGTAGTTTCTGTGAAAATTTCAACCAGAATATGAACAAATGGAATGTGGTTTTTCGAAAATTGTGATTTTAACGTTTTGATTAAACATATATGCAAAAAAAAATTAAAG